ATTTTTATTTTATTTCATATTTACGCGCAATCCTTTCTATCTATCCTTTCTTTGGTACTCTGTACTATTATATATATTCATAAGTCATTCTTTTTTGGAGTATTTATTGGTCGTTGAAAAACGAAAAAAAAACAGAATAAAAATGATTGCGTTTTATTTTCAGCTTTGAATAATATGTTTTATATTTATAACTATATCCTCGGTAGTATAGTGGTAAGTATCCCCGCCTGTCACGCGGGAGACCGGGGTTCGATTCCCCGCCGGGGAGACTTTTTTGTCATTTACCGCTTGCTTTATTTTTACTGCTTGACATGAAGAAGATTTATGTTGACTCACTTTCAATTGCTGTGCGTCTCCACTGAAGTGACACTTACATCAACATATTTTTAATGTCTCAGATTTTCTTTGAAAAAAAAGAACAATCGGTGCGGCGTAAATACGAGTCACGGCAGTGAAAACCCACAGTTTAGTTGTCATTTTGTAAAGGTTGTAGGTACATACCAGGTAACATTGGTTGTTGTGTTTGTTCGATAGTATAATACGATTCAAACATAACGTCGGCTCGCGCTAAGCAGCGAGCATTTATTACGTAGTTTGAAAAAAACAAAGTATAAGGAAAATGCGCTTAGGGAGAAGCCAATCCCCAGATCTCATATGAAATTGCAAGCAAACGTAAAGTTTGGATGGTAGAGTCAAAACAAGTAAATGCCAATTCTTCGAAATATTTTTTAGTATTTAACTTCCTTATAAAATATTTTCCTTATTTATGTCCTTCCTTTGTTTTTCGTGTCAACGTAATGTCAACAAAGTAGGTACCTAAATAATCTGCCTGTTATCCTTTTTATAACAAATCTGTTTGCATTTAATAAAGTAAATATAAATCAAACACTATTTATATAAATTAAAATTATTTTATTTGAATACAAACAAATAGATGCAGAATAAAATATCTTTTATCAGCCTATAAATAGTAAATGAGATGACAGTGTCATCCAATTCATCAATTTATGACACTAGATGGCGGTACCGTCAGACTATTTTATGACGATCTAAAATTATATTGAAGTTTTATTAGATTTGGTGGATATTTATATGTAAGTAATGTTTATCTTTATTATGCATTTCCACTGTTGGAACACATGTATAGCAACATAGTGATATAATAAGTATATCCACGTACTTCAAATATTTACGTCTCGATTTTAAATTGTTATTTATCTTGGGCTCCTAAAACCAAAATGTTCTATAAAACATATTGTTATATCTGTTTTATCAAAGATAACAAGGATAAGGATATGATTTATACACAGAACAAGTCTCAGAAGCCAACGTTTAGTGCGATAAAAGATAAATTATTTGGAAAGTTTTAAAGTAATTTCTAGCTTTAAATATAACCCTTCGTTCAACAGAATAGATGACAATTAATTCAATAATGACATCATTTATTACTTTTACGTCCCAAAACTGTTGAACTTTTACCCAAATTTAAACGCAAACTGTGGCACAATAACGTATTTCAAATATTACTTTTGACTGACGAAAATTATAACTGTTTAATAAAAAAAGACAAACTCTAATTATTCCTTATTGCAAATACATGTTCTAAAACAGTTTGGCAAAACTCTAATTAATTAAATCCTAAAGCGTGATAGCAATAATTGAAACTGAATAGAGATAAATCAGATGAGACTATCAGGAGTCATTAATTACGATATCAATTAATTTTCTTTTTGTCTTCATTGTTATCTGCAAGTCATTTCGTCGAAGTGAGGCCCTTTGGTCATTTATACAGGCTGACGGATGGTCTGTCGTCGTTCACGAAACATGATTAGTATATTTAAAAAGAAATTGCAGCAGGTATTTGTATCCAACTTCAACTTAAACAAATTTTCAATCAAAATATTATACTGCCAAAAGTGTTTTTTTTTCTTAGATTTCATGAACAAATTATGAAGTGGTCTCTGAGAAAGGTCCATTAGAAATTTGAGATTTTGGTTAAGTTATTGTCTTTGTTTCTTATAATACTTGTCACGTCACTATTATAATTTTGCACGCAAGTGAAAACTTTCATAAAAGTTTAAAACATTAAGACTGAATTGTAAAATGTATAGGCTTTACAAATACTCTTGTTGAATACGGAACTGAGTTGAATAGTTTTTCATTTCAATAGAAAACAAAATGGAGCTGCTCTCATTAGACATACGGAATGTCATTACCTCTGAGAAGATACGCTAGGTATTTCGAAATGGAGTCTTTCAAATAATCACAAAGCGCCTGCATGTTTATTAGCGGCAATATTTTTAAAAGGCATCATTGCAGCTACGCAATAGTAAGGAAATAAGTTTTATTTTAAAAAGTATTAACAGACCTTTGAACAATTTTAACTATTTCCTTAGGATAATGAATGACGTTAATCTTAATAATTTAAACATAAGACTTCTGAGGACGGCTTTAGAATCTTATAGTAACTTTGACCTTGTATTAAGCTCGTTAAAGGAGGTGATGAAAATCTTTGAAGCCTATAACATGTCTGGAATATTACGTGAGACAGTAAATTACTCAAAGAGATTTTCGTTGTTAAATTTATAATGTTATCAGTCACTCAGTATGGTTTATTATTAATTCAATAAAGGTTTTGGGTCTTTGTGTGGTTTCTGTAAATGGAATATTAGATAGAAATTTGACATGTATGCTTAAGATGTTTATTTATAATACAAACAGCCACCAAAAAATATAAACCAAATTGTTATAAGGATTTTCAAGAGAAATTAAAGGCCAAACGTTTATATAAAAACTACAAAAGAGAAAGTTGCCTCTAAATACACAGTTAAGAGAACGTAATATACCGTATGATTAATAAACATAAAATTATCCTGTTAAAAAATTTAAAAATGAATTAAAAATACGTTTCGAAGATGGAAATTCTCGGATAGCGATTACTATCGCAATAAGATTTCTTTATCCATAACTATAATCTTTTGCGGGGAGTTTCCTTTATAACTAACCTAACACAGAAAAAAATTATTTTTGTCTTCATTGTTATCGGCAAGTCATTGCGCCGAAGTGAGGCCCTTTGGTCATTTATACAGGCTGACGGATGGTCTGTCGTCGTTCACGAAACATGATTAGTATATTTAAAAAGAAATTGCAGCAGGTATTTGTATCCAACTTCAACTTAATCTCGGATAGCGATTACTATCGCAATAAGATTTCTTTATCCATAACTATAATCTTTTGCGGGGAGTTTCCTTTATAACTAACCTAACACAGAAAAATCTAGTAATAAATATAGCCGATTTCCCCTGGAATAAATTAAATACTTTTCCAACAACGTTAGAATTTTTCAAATCGAATCTTTATTCTATCTTTTAATAAATTAATTAAATTTATTATATCTTTATAATATTGAGTAAAGACAATCAAGAACTTATCTTTTTTATTTTAATCAATTAGAAACTGTATTCTTCAACCATTATCCCGTTGCCCTTATGTACTCATGTAGGGTTAGCGCAACAGTTTTCGTTGTCCAGATGATCTGATACTATCTTCTGTCCTATTAGACTCCTTACTTCATCATGTCATCTGTCACACAATCCATCCAAAAATCATCAAATTTATTTTAAACCTATTATTATTCTTTCTAATTATCTGCTGTTTGATGTACTCTTATTTGCTGGTATAAATGATAAATTAATTTATACAACTCAATGTTTCAAGAATTGAATACGCAGTAACAAACAACTCAAAGAAGCGTTTCTCTGATGAGTAATGTGCAATCATGTTTTTTCCTATAATGAATCACTGCATCGATAACGCAAATATACCCACATATTAGAATTTCCATATATAAACTACTAACTGTCGCCTGCGACTCCGTCCGCACGGCAAAAAAACATAATTAGTAGCCTCAGTGTTCTTCCAGTCTTCTACATGTATGCCAAATTTCATCTAGATCCGTTTAGCCGTCCCAGAGATACCTTTAAATAAACATCCATCCATCCATCTAAAGGATCGCATTTATATTATTATAGTAAGGAAAGTAAATGGAACAGTTCCATTGAAAGGGGATTACATATTAAATACTCGGACAATTAAAGGAGGTTTTAATTGCATCGAATAATATTTAATTCCTTAAAGAGATAACTGCAAAGGATATTCTATTTTATTACTATAATGATTAAGTATAAAATCACAATAACAGTATATGTATATCGCGACAAATTAATTGTCCAAGATTTTAAACCGGTGTTCGCATCACCGTTTTCCTTATTCATTTTAGAGATCCTTTTAAAAATGAATTAAAAAAATCTCGAAAGATCATTTCATTTTTATAAATGAATATAATCCCTTCTTATTTATATCAAAAAAATTTATAATCTTAATGGAACGATCAAGACTAAATATGATTATAGTGCTTGAACATTTCCATGGAGATTTTAAAAATTATTGTGACAGGGCACTGGGATTCGTTAGTAAAAACTTAACTCTTTTTTAAATAAATCAAAATGAAGCTTTTTTAAATGTAATACCAAAGATTTACATTATTGGGTTCCACTGACCGTTAGTAATAATTAAAAACAAAAAAAATCAAACACAACTCACGCCTGTAACCCAGGGGGATAGACAGAGAGACGACAGACTTGCATAAGACGTGGTCAAACTAACCTCCGCCAAATATTAATTAGAGAAAAAAAAACAAGAGAATACAAAAAATACGAAATTTCATTTTATCATTTCCATGCTGAATAAATTGTCTTTTTTATAAAAATATCGAGAACCCTTCTTTATTTTATAATCTTTAAGAAAACAATCATACAAACGAAACCTTTGTGGAGGTTATAAATTAAAAAATATATATATTTTTATATAATTTACACTTAGAATTTGTTTATGATTCAGTATAACATTAAAATTGATGGTAAAGATTAAAAAACTGTGTTACAAGGTAAAGGTAAAATTATCATAACGGGAACCCGCATTGGACCATTACTGGTTCACGGGGTTTTTATTTATGTTTTTGCAAAATCTTGGACAAACCAGTCGACGCTAAACCGTTCGAAGAGCGAGACGTTTATCGTGTAAATTGTTTTTATTCATTACGTAGTAAGTAAATTTTAATTATATTCATTTAATTGATTCCTAAACGAAGTATAATTGTTTATATTCCCATCTATTTCAGAATTATTGCAATTTACCATTTGATTATGCTATATTTATGTTTTTTTTTTCGTTAGTACATCATTTAATCATGTGTTATTTGTAGACATGGGTAACTCAACTAAAATTTATGACCTCCAGATCAGGTCACGGTTCACGTATATGCAGAACAGTGATTCGATTCGCAGCTTAATGTGTCCCTACATAGAGTTATGATTTGTGTTTATAACTGCGAACTGCTAGTCACAAAGCCGCTAGCGATCGAGTCAGAGTTATAGTACATTCCGATGAGCTATGAGCTGCTAATTTAGTAATTGAACCGCAACTCAACGGTTCAAGTTCTGTGAGTTCTTCTGGACCGGTTATGAGCTTTTGTGCTTATATTGTGTGAATGCAAATATTTAGATGGATGGATTTGTAAGTAGGTATCTCCAGAACGATTGAACGGATCTCAATGATATTTGGCACAGATGCAGAACATAGTCTGGAAGAACAGATACGGTAGGGTTTTTAAGATCGCACAGACGGAAACTCGGGCGACAGCCACGTCATTATAATTATGGTTAGAGTCGAATATAAAACACTAAATTGAATGAACAAAGAACGTATTATTACAGTCATATTAATTATCTGCATATTTTTGTCATTCAGATGGCTTACATGCAAATCTTGTTGATCGCTGCGTCCGTTGGCCTGGTGTGGTGTCAACGACCTTTCTTCGCGGGTTCCCGGCCAATCGGATATCCAGAGGTGGAAAAACCATCAACGACAGCGGATCAACTTGGAAATCGGTAAGAAACACGGTTACAACTAGTTTAGGAGACAGAGACCCACCAATTTTGTGCAAAATGGTTTCTTGTCCCATAAAGTTTTTTTTTTAATTTTAATTCTGAATTTCTATAATTAACACTTAGATATAAGATGCTAAAGATAAGTCACTAGTTAGAAATTGAAATAGTCTTTTGTCCTATTTCCACTGAATCAGTCTCGACTGCAACACATAATGATAGCCGTGCGCGGTTACAGTCGCGCGGCTAACCGCTTAGTGGAAATAAGGACTAAATTATTTACTACAATATCGTGAAAGATATTTAATATGTTTTACCTACCGGTAAAAACCAAAGCTCACAATTTGTCCTGGAAAATTGTATATAAAAAAACTTTATTTCCTCAAGCGGATTTCTTTATCCTATTAGTCACATTTACCTGTTTAATATTCAAGAAACTTAGTCATATTTGAAGACGGAATGGTAGGGAAAATGCGGTTTTAGGTACACAAAGGATTAAGAAGACATGTATAATGACCTTGAACTTTAGACTATACAAGCTCAATTAAATAAATCTGAAATGCTTTAGATATTTTATTAATAAATTTAATTTTTATAACTTAAAGTTTGAACTTATTTGTAGTATATCAGTCTGTGATGTAAGGAAAACATATTGACTTATCAAGTGATGCGTCCCTATAATTTCACATTTTCAATCCTTGGTCTCTGAGAGCGTCGGTGGCTTAGGGGTGACTTGACTTGAAATCTGCAGATCCTGTTTTCGAAGCCCGCCATGTACCAATGTGTTCATCAATTTTCAATTTACATATATACACCTATCTTCTGACTTCTTACGGTGAAGGAAAACATCGTGATGCGACCTGCATATATCTGTGAAGAAATTCAAAGATATGTGTGAAGTCAATAAACCCGCACTGGCCAGCTTGACTATGTTATATTACATTATCTTTGTTCTTTTCAGATTTGGCGAAGGTACAACACAAAGATTACCACTCGAGGCTCAAGGCGACAGAGATCTTGTTGATAGATTGAGCAAACTACCACTGGACAAGCAGCCGTTCTGGCTTATCAACTGGCAAGCCTTAGAAGCTCACAGACAACAACCGCAGTCTTATCCGATCAGACCTAATCCATTTGCTGAAAATCCATTTGTTCCCAATAACTCAGGAAACATCAATCCGGGAAGTAACCTTGGTAACAGGAGTGGTGATGCTAACAAAGATACTTTAGCGAGTTCCAGTTCGTTTGCACCTCCGTCTACAGAAAAAGCCACTACTTTTAGTACAATTGTCAATACACTTAAATCACAAGAAATTGATCCAAAACTAAATACTTCAAATAAGGATGCGTTAGAAAAGAAGCTGTAAAATGGTGTACAGTGATAATACTAAGATCCCTACCAATTTTTAATTATATACGCCTTGGAAATAATGTAATTTAACTGGAGTAGTACTCAAAATAATAAATTTATTATACCTATTTCAAAATGAATCTTTTTATTTAGTTAATAAGCCCTCTAAACCAAAAAATGAAACCGAGAAAAGAATTTAACGATTTAAGCACCTTATTGCGCCTGACAAAAATAAATAGCAACGAGCTTTTTTGCTATGTGCTCATTATTTTTACAAATGGTTTTTATTTCTCACAATCGCATCATCAATAGGAAAATTGAAATAGTAGCAATATCGGTACTGCAATCTTGTTAAAACTCCAATTTAGTTGTTACTTTATCTTGTTTTATACTTTATTGTTTCTGTTTTATATTCAAATCGTAGTACAGAGCGACGACGATTTTCGATTTCCTCATTCTTTATATGGAAGAAAGGAAACGCGGAAAAGGAGTAATCCTGATTTCTACGTCTTTTACGAGCAAGCGCTATAAAAGTAAGCAATCATTTGGAAATTTGGAACCTTCTGGAAACACAGGATTATATATGAAAATAAAATAAAATAAAGTTAGTATTTTAGTACACCAGTAGTAATCTAAAGAAATACAAAACGCACACTAACAATTTCTGCCGCTCTCATTGTTATGTAGTTAATAATTCCCTTAGTACTTCTTCATGTTGACTTGCGGTCGTGTAATACCAAACATGATGTTAAATGTAAGTTTTGACATAGAAATCAAAAATTATACATACGGTCTAAAGCCCTTCGACCACAAGGCTACGTAAATAACTTGGTAGGTCCGCCCGCGCGTTTAACGCATTAATTTTTTCATACCAAACCAGCACTAAGGAATTGCTTCAAGCATTTAAGCAACTCTGAAAGTTACAGTTTGTCTGCTGTTCCATTTTATATATTATCTTGTAAACTATACTAACATGCGTAACGCATAGAACCTCACGCACACATCATTAAAAGATATCGTATAATAACTCATAAAATCCTGATGTTATTCTTATTCTTCTTTAAGTCGTGAACTAAATATTATTGGTTTAGTGCTATTGTACATATTTGAGAGCAAAAGAGAAATCTTTGTTAAGAATTTTTTATTATGTGTTATAAATGTTCGTAAAACCATACATAAAGTACTCAGTAAAGGGTATATATTTGCAAAATGCTATAAATATCAGTTACTCTTAAACTAAAGGAAGAAAAAAGTGCTTGTACAGACATTTAATATTAATTGACGCGTAAGTAACCCGTAGGACCTAGTACGAATAACCGAGAGAACGTTTTCGTAACGCCATCAATTAAATTTGTATTACAATTAGTGCAACGCTCTTACCGAGCGTAAAGTACACCAACAATTCTCATACAGAGTTTACGAAAGCGTGGTTTGCAAATATCGTGTTAGGCCCTCTAGTATCGATTGTACTGACAGTGAGATTGTTACTGTTAATATTGCACTTTTTTCTAAGTTATTAAAAAAAATTACTTCCATTCTACGACAGAGTAACAAAACTCTTACCGTGGGTTTTCGAGACCTAAATCTCCGTTAAAATGTTGTTATCTTTGTTTTACAGAGTTTTGTTTTGACAATATGCTAAATACAGAATTTTAGTTTTAAAAACCCACGGTTACAGATCCCATTAGATGGGCCAAGAACCCTAAAGTCGTTGTTAGGTTATATTATTCTCCCAATGTTGTTATTTAATTTTACTGATGATTTCTAAACAGATGATGGATTTTAAACCAGTCTTGTTGTTGACTGCATCGTTATGCTTCGTATTAAGTCAAAGACCTCCTTACGCTGGGAAACATCCGATTGGTTATCCGGAAGTAGAAAAAACATCTGAGCAATATGGCGGGTAAGTGCATTATTCATCTTATTATCATCGGGCGACAGCTAATTACGAGTTTTAATTAATTAGTAACGTATCACATAAATGATGAAATCTTTTTTTTTTCAGAACAACCGAATTTCCTTTAGAGAGGTTACCTCTCGAAGCTCGCGGGGACATAAACCTAGTGAAACGTTTAGTTCAATTACCTATAGATCAACAACCATTCTGGCTTATCAACTGGCAAGCATTGGAATGGTACAGGCAGCATCCACGAACATATCCCATACGAGAGAATTCATTCCTCAAAGACCCATAACTAATTAAAAGAAAAATTCTTGTCTTCTTCCAAAAAAAAAAAAACTGTATTTCTCAAAGGATTTTTCGTTACATTTAATAGTGTGTTTTAGTGCTGATTACAAATGTATTGTTTTCTCTTTCTTTCTCTTTGGAAAACCAGAGATAAAAAATATATGTTTTCAGCAATGAAAATCTAATGTTACGTATAGTAAGCAGTTGTTTTCGAGGTAGTGGAGAGTATATCAAAATTGATTTCTTAGGTTTTCTATCAATTTAAATAAAACACGATTATACGTTTACTAATATTTACATGTTCAATGTAATTGTACAATACAATAGCATACTTGAAGTAATAAAAACACATCATATTGACTTTTTTTTAAAATAAATAAAACCTTAACACTAAACGTATACTTAAAATTAACAAGTCACAGGATTTTATAAATAGAAATAGAGGGCATAGAACAACTGGATGACTTACTCTTAAACTTAGTTCAATCAAAGAAAAAATCCTAAAAAAAATATGTACAGTCAGGAAAATTAGCAGTGTTCTACTATGAGACATACTTCGCACCTTCTAACAAAATAAACATAATAATAAAAAGAATTTAACCTTGTACATAGATCGACCTATTTTCGTACACATTTAAATGCTGAGTCTAATTGATAATTCTGAAACGTTCAAACGACTGTCGCTTTAAAGATGGAATACCGCCAATTTCCCCGATTGTACATACATAGCTAAGTGTACCGAGTTATTTTAAATGTACTTAATGAAGTTAAAGGTTGCCTTTTACACAGAAATGTACCTCCAAAGGGTAAAAGTTATCCGATAAAGACAGATCGCTACTAAAGATAATTATCAAAGTTAGAAGAAACAGTCAAGAAAAAAGGCAAATATCTTTTAAGGCAATTATAATTTAAATTTATTTACATTTTATTGCAACAAAATTTTCATTTCGAATATACTTACCACGAAACTACCAATGAACCAAATACTGCAAATTCTATCAAACTTTAAATACGTCGAAATCAATATAATCTGAATATTTATACGTGTACAGTCGCAAAATAAATATTAATTAAAACTGACCTAAGGTCTTATTACTTAAACTGGACTTCAAAAAATTCTGTATAATTTACTTAATATGTACCTAATATGTAATACATCAAACTTTAGTTGAACTGAATGTAATTATTTTGGCACAAATGTATTACCGATTCTAACAGTGAGTTCACTGCTAAGATCATATCAAAACATATTGTTCAAGAGTTCGCTAGTGTACTCACAACACGACACATATAAATAGTATAAAATATACTAATAAAATTCACAAATTATTGCTTCATTACACGTATTATGATTATGTTACTAACCGTGGGTTTCTAAGACCGAAATCTCCGTTTAAAACATATTTCTGATTCGTCAAATAATGACATGGATGATATGTTTTATACAAAGATATTGGTCTTCGAAACCAACGTTAAACTTTAATTTTCGAATATATAAAATATTAGGCACCATTTACACTAAAATGAATTTCGATTTTTTCGAATTCAGTTTTTTTTCATTTACATTTAATATTTAAAAGTAAACTACGTGAAATAGAAACATAATGCATAGAAATAATAAATACATGTCATATTTTGAATACAGATATGTGGGCGACCATAAATTACGTAAGGTGTTTTTTAAATTTCCTGCTCCTCCCTCCCCCCAGGTGAGATTTTATTCAACCCCCTCCCCCATTCCCAAATCTCACGTGAGATTTTTAAAAATATGAGTTTCTTACGTAAAGGCGTTTTATTGTTATTGTAAAAAGACAGAAAATATGCTTCGTTCTTTTGCTTTTTTTTTTGTTTCAATCAGAAAAAAATTGCGTGGTATTTACCGAGACCCCCTTCTCTCCAACGTAAGATTAGATGAGATTTGACTCCCCCCCATAAACACCTCACGTAATTTTCGGACGACCTCTATAAAGATTGTAAGTAAATTATTGCTTTAAATAGTTAATATTATTTTCGTCGGCAATTTTAGTGTGTTTGTGCCTTAATGTAAAAAATCTACATTTTAAATTCTACAAAAATATATTTGTAAATTTATCCTGATACGACAGAGCCTTCAACACAGTCCATATTGAATACTATATTTGTAGTATAGTTTGTTTATAAAAAAAAGTTTCATTTCACAAAAAAATTATATAAATCAGGAGATAAATTAAAAAGTTATTTCTTAAAATAACTATCACTGTTGTAACTCTTTAAAGTTAACTTTAGTTATAATTGTTAAAACAAATACAATATCAACACAAGATTAAGGACAAAAACATATTTATAAACGTAATGTCTTCGGAAATGGAATTAAAATAAAAACATTGGAATATAGGAATCAGTCATTTCAGTATAGAAAAATAGGATATTTATAGTACAAGTTTACATTTGGTATTATAAATCCAAAATTACAAATACTTAGTGAAACACATGAGCAAAACTCATAAGTACAAAAATCACAAAAACACGTTTAGAATTAAATACATTTGATTAACGCCATCTAGTGAGATTGAACTAAAATAAAACATTTTAAACAATATTACAACATCTTTTGCATTGACAAAAAAGGGACCAGTAATAAAATATCGATATGTTAAAATACATATACTTATAATGTATACGAAATCGATTTCACAATCGATTTAACTTTGACTGATGTTTCTATCAAATTCAAATTTAGAATAACTCTCACAAATTCTTTCTCTTACGATGATTAGGCAAAGGTCCAATGACATACAACCATAGCTGACAAAAAAAAAATATGTTTCAATGTTGATAAAAACAGGCAAAGGTTCTAAAACCATACAGCCAAAAAATAACCTGATTTTTTTTCAAAATTAAAAATAAAATCATTAAAAAAACTTTTTTTTACGTATGCACTGCATATGTATTGTATAAAAAATCAAAGTAAAAATTGTAAATAATAAAAATATATTTTTCTGAACTCGTATGCATGTACTTTGTTTAAAAAAAATCATAAATGCTTTCAAATGTACCGAATCGTACTGAGCTAAGGTTTGCTAATTATTAAATAATCAACTATACAAATGCTATGAATACAACTTTCGTTACAAATTTGGCCAAATAATACTAATTAAAAAATAATTATAGTGTACATTTCATGTGAAACTGATCAGAATTTTCGTTACAAATAACCAATTTATTCAATCTCCTAATCCATTGACATAGTATGAAAAAAAAACAAAAAAGTACCATTCCCAGCACGAATTAAAACATAACCTAAATTCCATACAAACATGACGCATATTGTAACGAAAATTCCAAACGCATAACAAAAAAAAATGCCCTGACATTTAAATATTTGAATATCTCGATAATAAAAACAAGCTAAAACAAAAACAATAGTGTCTCATTCAGTATTACCGCGCAATGAGACAGTTTATCGACATAAACAAGATGGCGGATAAACTAAATGACAGTTTGGTTGCTGCATTAGTTTTTGTGACGGACGGTAGCCTCACACTTTTATAATTGCAGGACTTCTCTGATGTATCGTTGTTCGTTAGTTCCGTAAAATTGGGATAAGTCTGGATCTGTACGGGCTGTGGAATAAAATAAACATGTGAACAACCATCTCTTTTATCTTAACTTTCTCTCTCTCATTCTCTCTCTCTCTCTCTCTCTGATAACTTTGATTTTATTTTTTATTTTTTAGTAATAAATAACAATTTTATTAGCGGTCAGGATTTCTTTTTGGCGCGATTTTAGCGACTCTTACATTTTCTCATACAAATACAATTTAATCTCGGGTATAGAGGTTTCTCGCTTATTATAAATTTTAGTGTAATTTAAACTTTAGAGTACAGAGTATAAGAGACTTGATATTATTCTAAGCACTCACCGCTCCCCAGGAGTCATCATTCTTCTTGCAGAAGGTCATGTGCATTCCTCTGTACAGCGTCTTTTCTATCTGCTCCGTGAGCAGCACCTCCGACCACGGCATCTCGTTCAGGTGCGCCATGAAAGTCTTGTTGCCGAACTCAAGTGGCTCCTTTATCACTAATTCCTCTAGAAGATACAGAAGATAACATTAGAAGATTTAAAACTACTGCTGACTTTTAGAAGATCACTTTAGGGAAAGAAGGAATTATTTTAATCACTATTTTTTTATGCAATTTACGTTGCCAACCTTCAATCGACGGATGAGGGGACGCACAGAAACATAATTTTTCCCCCTCCTCCAACAAATCTACTTCTCCTTCATCTCTAGCTCCAGGAAGGGGAAAAAGACTAAAATTAGTCCTAACAATAAGATAACAATGTTAGTTTAGGATCCTATGGTTATTTACGGTTGAATTTTAGTGAATTATGGAATATTCTTATCCATCTTTCAAGATAGAGGGCGCTTGCGGCATGTCGCCATTTTGAAATGTTACTTACTCATAAATCCAACGCCTTGATCATCGCCTTGCATACCGCCTTCTTCCGATTCCTTGCCTTGATCTGAAGGTAGGTTTGGATATTCTACATATCTGAAATTTATATTTTACATGCTTCAATCATAACAGAGAGACAAGCCAAGGTATAAAAAATAAAAAATAAACTTTACAAAGCAATCAAATAGTTAAGGAGCGGAGAGGAAAAACATGCAAAAAGCTATCAAAATCAAAACTTGCCAATAAAAAAGTCTGTCAATTACTTCAGACCCTACTTAAAGGATCTTCTGTCTACTTTTATTACCTAATTAGCTAAACTAACAAGAACTTATCGAGCATATCAATATTACAATATTTTATGTTTTAAATAAATAGTTTGTCTTGGCCATTGTATGCAAACACAATGTATTTACAAGTAATACTTCTTACTAATATTATAAATACGAATGTTTGGATGGATGGATATTTGTTTGAAGTTATCTCCAAAACACCTCAACAGATCTCGATGAAATTTGACACAGATGTAAAACATAGTCTGGAAGAGTAGATAGGCTACTATTTAAGATTTTTTTAATTTCGCATACGGAGTCGCGGACGACAGCTAGTATGACAATACAT